TTACGTGATGAGCACAATAAAGACACAATGAGAACTATAAGTGTTGACGAGGCATTCGTTACTATGATGAGCATGAAACTAGTGCCAAGAATTCATTCAACGCGATCGTTTTCAAGCGACCTTCACTACTTGTGATTATAAGATTGTAACTATTAGGTGAAACTCCCTCATAATCTAGCATCATATTCATGCATGAAAACTAAGCGTGCACTCTCAATCAACATACACAAATAAGTTATCAATCAAGTAGATGAACGAATTGAATCCGCAACTTATGAAATAACAACTGAATGTAATCAAATCATATTGCAAGCATGTACATGGTTTCGAATCACCCCCCAACTAAGGGGGTTTAGTTCCTCATTCTTGCAATACAAAGATACATAAAATTAGACATTAAAATCAAAGGAAAGAAAACACCTAAAATGCTCCAACTTGGAAAGCAAGTGCATCAATGGATCTCCCTTCCTCCTTGTTGCGGCATAAAGCTTGTGGACAGATTTTTGGGTGGATTTATGGTGTAGAATGGATGGGGAATGATATGGAGGGGTTTACGGTGAGTGTGGAAGAGTGTTTGATGGTTGGAAGGTGGTGGAGAACTAGGCAAAGAGGGTGGAAGAAGGTGGAGTGGCTGTTATGTTTTCTAGGCACTAGAATGGTGTTTTTGGGGTGTTTTGCTTCCTAGGGTGTGTATGGACGAATTTCTGTGATAAAATGATGAATATGGGGGATTGTTCTTTGGCCAAGGGGTGTAAACATGTATTTATAGGCCTCAAAAACCTTAGAAAATCAGGTTAGGTTAAGGATGAAATGCATGGCAATTTGTGTGTGTGGTGTGCAATGGTCCAAGGGTGAAAATGAAGTAATGATGCAAAGTGTGAAGGGTAAAATGGAGTGGTGTTGTAGCTAGGGAGCATGAATGATTATGTACATTGCATAGAGATGGAAAGGGAGGTGAAATGTGTCAACAAATGGGTCAAAGGTGCAACAACATGTGTTGCACATGGCATTGGATTCCAAATGTGAGTGATGGAGCATCAATTGGTGCATGTAATGGATGTAAATGTTGTCTAAAATCTAATGAGTGAAGGGAACAAGATGTATCAAGCAATTGAGTGTAATAATTAAATGAATTGAAGCATGAAATTAGAAATTATGTAGGGGACAAGAGTGATCAAGCATGGCATGGAATCCAAAGGGAATTCTATGTGGTTTGCATGGCAAGGAATGCAAGTTGGGGTGACAGATTTTTGGGCTGTTTTCTTCATCTTTTGGACCATAATTCTTCATATTCTTGGCCTCTTTAGTTCTCAAATTCGTCCATCCACTTGGCCCATGCATTTGCTATCCATTCCAAGCCCGAAACATGCTCCAAAGGCCTCCAAAATGCATCTTCTTGCATACTTTGTCCATAAAATCTGAAAACACACGAAAATGACTTTAAACATTAAAATAACTAAGCAAACACGACATAAATGCACTAGAACAAGCCAACTAAGTCGCATAAATGTGCTCCTATCATCTATCATCAATGGAACCTGCCCAGTCTGCATCAGTATAACCTTCAACACTAAAGTGATTATTCCTCTTAAACAAAATTCCTTTGCCCGGACTTCCCTTCAAATATCGCAATATTCTCATCACGGCATTCATATGTTGTTCTCCAGGATCATGCATGTATTGACTCACTACACTCAAGGCATAAGCAAGGTGCGGTCTTGTGTGTTCCAAATACATCAACCGGCCTACTAACCTTTGGTATCTTCCTTTGTCAACTGGTACTTGATTAGGATCAACACTAAGCTTCAATCCTTCTTCTAATGGTGTAGCTACTGGTTGACAAGCTGACATGCCAGTTTCGTGCAACAAATTAATAATATACTTCCTCTCAGACAAGAAAATTCCAGAACTGCTTCTCGACACCTCAATCCCTAAAAAATATTTCAGGGATCCAAGGTCCTTCATTTCAAATTCTGTAGACAGGTATCTTTGCAAGGCTGCACGTTCTTCCGGATCATTACCTGTTACCACCATATTGTCTACATACACAATAAGTGCAGTAAGCTTCCCATTCTGTCTTTTCAGGAACAAAGTATGATCAGAGTTACTTTGTCTGTAACCAAATGCTCTCATAGATTTTGTGAATCTTCCGAACCATGCTCGAGGGGACTGCTTCAAGCCATACAAGAATTTCTTCAACCTGCACACTTTTCTTTTGTATTTATCTGGAGCATTACATCCCGGTGGAAGATCCATATAAATCTCTTCTATTAAGTCTCCATGCAAGAAGGCGTTCTTCACATCGAACTGTTGTAAGGCCAATTAAGATTTGCAGCCAAGGACAACAAAACACGAACTGTGTTGATCTTGGCTACAGGTGCAAATGTATCTGTGTAGTCGATTCCATATTTTTTAGTGTATCCTTTTGCTACCAGTCTTGCCTTGAAACGATCCACTGTCCCATCTGTTTTGTATTTCACAGTATAGACCCATTTGCATCCCACAAGTTTCTTGCCAACTAGCAAATCTGTGATCTCCCAGGTAGCATTCTTCTTCAAAGACTTCAACTCTTCATTCATTGCTACTTGCCAACGTGGATCAGTTAAAGCCTCATGCACACTGTTAGGAATAGATACAGTAGATAATTGATGTACAAACGACTTATTTGATTCTGACAGGTGACTGGTAGACACATAATTACTTAACGGGTATAACACATTAGACTCAGGGTTGGGCTTACTCACCGAATACCTAGTTTTGCATTTAGGGTCAGCTTCATAAGTAAGTTTAGGAATACCTCGGTTGACGCGATCAGGGAGACGATGTGGTGGTGGTGCATCCGGGATCGAAGACGATTGATTATGGTTATTGGGACTCAAGATCGACTGTGAGGTAGCTGGAGACACAGGGCTGTCTAGTGGTGAGGAAACTGGCAGTGAGCTATCAGGCAATGAGTTATCTGGCGATGTCGACTCGTCCCTTTCAAGGTTTTCAACATTGTTTCCATGTGAATGATCACCACTTGTCTCCAAGACATTACCACTTAATTCCAATTCATTCACATCATTATTTTCGTGTGAATGATCACCACTTATTTCCAAGACATCACCACTTAATTCCAAATCATTCACTCTATCTATATCTGGAATAGTATAATCAAGAGTTTGAACTTCTTTCTGATTCTCCCCCTGAAGTGAAGACTCGGGATTGGCAAAGTACATATCATTCTCATGAAACGCAACATCCATAGTGACAAACAACTTATTCGTCGGTGGGTGATAACAACGGTATCCTTTCTGCCTTGATGCATACCCCACAAACACACATCGTAAGGCTCGAAGTTCAAGCATACTTCGATGTTGTTTATGAAGATGAACGAAGGCCAAACAACCAAACACATGAGGTGGAAGATTAGGGACTGCAAGAACATCAACATGTGAAGAAAGTGCCTGAAGAGGTGTTTGAAAATCAACCGATCGGGATGGAACACGATTAATGAGATACGCAGCTGAGGTGAGAGCTTCTCCCCAATAGGATAACGGGAGACGAGCCTCGAGTAAAGAAGCACGAACAACCTCCAGAAGCTGACGGTTCTTTCGTTCGGCAACCCCATTTTGTTGTGGAGTATATGGACATGTAGTTTGATGAACAATCCCATGATGATCAAGAAAGGCACGAAGTTCAAAGTTAACATATTCGCCACCATTATCACACCTGAGAACCTGTATTGTGACTTATATTGTACTTGTACCATTTTGTAAAACTGTTGAAACAAAAAAGTAACTTCACCTTTGGATTCATCAAACAAACCCAAGTCATACGTGTGCAGTCATCAATAAAAGTAACGAACCAATGAGCACCACCAAATGTAGCAGTTTTAGATGGACCCCAAACATCAGAATGAATTATCATAAATGGAACAGAACTTTTATTCAAACTGGATGGAAACGAAGCACGATGACTTTTAGCTAGTTCACAAACACCACATTTAAAGCTAGAAACATCATGCTTAACAAATAGGCTAGGAAACAACCTCTATAGATAGCCGAAAGAAGCATGTCCAAGTCGACGATGCCACAACCAAACCTCCGAAGCTTTATTCCGATCCCCCGGATTTCCGTCCACTACAAGAGCTTGAGTCAACATTCGAGAACTGTTTGATGTCAGCTCCAAGTAGTAGAGCTTCCCTTTCCTAATACCATAACCAATCGTCTTGCGAGTCCGAATGTCCTTAAAAACACAAAAAGAAGGCCAAAAAATCACAAGACAATGCAGGATGACAGTTATTTGAGCAACAAATAATAAATTATAGTCAAGAGAAGGCACAACAAGTACGGTATCAAGACTAAGGGTATCTGAAAGGGAGACGGTTCCTTCCCCGATAACAGGGGCAGGATTACCATTGGCGACACTGACGACAGTTTTGGTGGATGGTTTTAGGGTTTCTACCTGTCTAGAATCACAAGTCATATGTTCAGTAGCACCGGAATCAATTATCCATGTATTATTCGTAACAGATGCAGAAACCTTTAAGCTTTACCATCGTTGTTTGTATGTTCAGAAGCTACCTTAGCTTTGGCAATCAATGCACACGACTCATTACAGCGGGGATGACGAGTCCAATGTGTCATTGCTCTGCGTGAGTTGAGTGCAACGTCTGAGGTGATTGATAGGGCCAAGATTCCAAACCAACTAGGTCAACAATGTGAGATCCCTGGAACAAAAACAAACAGTAACACAAAAAAGGACAACCTTTTTTTCTTTTTCTTTTTTCTTTATTTTTCTTTTTTTCTTTTTTTCCTTTTTTTCTGAATTCCTTCAGAACACGCAAAGCAAAATAAATGCACGTGGGACTTCCTTCAAAACACGCAAATCAAAAAATAAATGCAGGGATCATATCAAATCAATTTAGCAGAACACAGGTTGGGCTGCAGATGGTACGATGAGTCAAATGCGTAGATGCGAGGAAGAGACAGGTCGGTTTCTGGTGCAGAAGAAATTGTGGTTGTCAACCGGGATTTGCAACGACAAGGTTTCTAGATTAGGATCTCGGTTTGTGGGTGTGCGATGCAGCAACAGATGGTAGTGGGTGACTGCAGGGATCGACTCAGTGAACTCGGATCAGCAACGACGGCGTCGCTCGCTGGTGTGACGGTGCACTGCACAACTGGCTGCGCAACTGGTGAACTCGGATCAGTAACGACGGCGTCGCTCGCTTGTGTGACGGTGCGCTGCACAACAGGCTGTGCAACTGGTGGTTCTTATTTCTGCGCACAACGAGACTTTTTTCTTTTTTTCTAACTTAGGCTCTGGCGCCAAGAAGAGAATGCTCTGAATAATAATATATTCTTCTCAATAAGAGGAACTTATAGGTGTACAACCCTAACATAAAAGGAAAAAAAACTAATTACAAGTGATTACATGAGATTACATATCAATTAGGAATCCTACCTAAAATACAAAAGTCAACAGTTAATTTCGTATCGGGTTATCGGATCGTGTCAGGAATTGCCAGGCCTAGATGTTGATATAGCATGGTTGAGTTTATTGAGGAGGCCACGAAAGGGAGCCAAGAAATTCTGTTTTCTGACAGAGTCAGCAAGCAAAGTGAGATCTTGGGTGGCATCGTCATCTGAATCTGGAAGGCCATCTGGGACGGCTTCGAACCGGAAATCAGGCAAGCCATCTAGGGAGTCAGGTCCTAGAGATTTAAGAAACTGCTTGTGATTGAACTCCGCGTTGACAAAGGTAATATGAAAACCTCTACTGTGCAGGAGTTTTGCGAATTTAAGCATTGCCTTGATATGGCTTTGAGTCGGAACTGGAATGCAAACAGCGTGAGGCTTAGTAACTTCTGTTGTGGCATCCATTTTAGATTATGTGTTTGCATTGCAGTGCAGGTTATTCATAGTACTACTGTGCTAGTAGTGAGCTACTTTTCAACATATATGTGGTTCAAGTTGAATGGTAGATTTTCTTGTAGTTGAATTTAGAGGGCATGTATGCGTTAAGATCGTAGGGAAGGTGCTTTAAGATAATTTGGTTAGTAATTTGCTTTCCAATCAAAGCTGCCGACGATAAGTGACGCTGGACTTAGTGGCTTCTTCTGTTGTGTCATATAGCATTAAAGAATCACTTTTGCTTTTCTGTATATTGCTGAAGAGAAATGATAAACGCACTCTTTTTCTCCTTCTGCACAACTTGTTAGATCCTTTCTGTTGTTTTGTTTGATTTATTCAGCCTGATGACAAGAAATAAAGAGGGTATGTGAGAGACTAAAAATGGTGTGAAAATCAGTTCTTCTATTTGTGTTGATATTAAACTATTTGAAATGTTTTTGTAGGTTATATATATATATATATATGAGCAACAATGCGCTAGTTCTTCTATTCGTGTTGATACTTTTGGACTTTTAATCAAAATTTTCTAAGACAAATAAGATCAATTTAATTAAAAACCGTAACTAAATAAAACTGAAGATGTAGTAGCAGGCTAAACATGTTGCTAGTTCTTTTGAACCGATCACTGTTAGGCATGCAATACATGTCTCTTATTAGTTCCAATGCACAGCATCTAGATCTTTTTAGACTGAATTTGATTCACTAATTTTTCCAAGTTTGCAGATGAAGAACCCTGTGGACCAGTGGCTTCCTCTGCCAATTTTTTCCACTCCATGGCCTTATTCTTCATTCGCGTACCCTTCTCTCCCTCCATTAACTCTCTAACAAGCTTCAACATCATCTCTCTTGACACCATTATTGATCTCCATACCAATGCCCCATTTTTCGCAAGTATAGTGACAGTTCGTTGGCTGATCAGAAAAGAACGGCCAACACAGCATAGGCACTCCTGCAGACACACTTTCCAGCGTAGAATTCCAACCACTGTGTGTCAAAAATCCTCCAACTGATGGATGGTTAAGGACTAGCTCTTGAGGGCACCAACTCGCTATTAGACTTCTCCCCTTAGTTTCATCCACAAACTCGGATGGCAAAATTGCTGATCTACCAACTACCAAGTCAGGCCTAATTACCCAGAAGAAACAAACCTTGCTATTTGCAAGTCCACAACCAAATTCCACAAGTTGTTCCGGGGTCATGACCGTTATGCTGCCGAAATTCACATAAACAACTGAGTTTGGCGCCTTATCGTTCAGCCATTGGAGGCACTCCGTTTCTTCTTTCCACAGGCTATATCCCAGGGACTTCAAAGGGTGTTGTGGTATCTGATTGAGAAGTAACTGGAGAGGGCCAACAGCGTAAACAGGTGGAGACATAGATGAGAGAGCATCCAAAACATCTATCTCCAATGCATCAAAGGTATGTACAACAATTGCTGAAGCTTCATGTAGTCTGCCTATTCCTTCAAGTATGAGATTCCAGATTGCATCATTGGGATTTGTTGTTACAAAGTTGTTAGGAAGATCCCTTAAACGAATACTTTCCATTCCTGGTATCCAGTCTACCTCTTGGTCTAAAAATCCATTCGTGAAGCACCTCTCATCTACAAACAGCCAAGTAATGCTTTATTAGTAAAAAATATCTTCATTTGCTTGATTAACATATACAAACTCTCTCATGGACAATTTGTCTTTTTTTGCCAATGCAACAATTGTCGTTCATGAACTTTGAAATTAGGACGTCTCCAACAAATTCGAAATTGGGTGCTACTAGATTAATTGGCCATTAGCAACCACTGTTGTTGATTAATTAAAAAATTAGAACTAATAACCAAATTGTGAAACTGTTATGAGCACTTCAGAAAGTAACCATGCCTTCTTCCCCCTCTTTATTTTTTTGGGTAATTACTTATGTTGATTACCACTTTTCTCACACTGCACATCCTTATTTATTTTTTACTATTGAGTTGGTTGAATAAATCAAGGCATAATCAAGTAACAAAAATAAGCATGGTGAAAATATTTCCCTTATTTTTTTTCACTAGGGAGGAGTGTAAGATGAATTTTTGTAGATTCAATAATAGTTTCCTAAAATTTGACCCCAAAAAAAAAAAAAAATAGTTTCCTAAAATCAAACAATTGCTTTAATTCTTTACCTTTGAGGGGTGCTAGTCCTCTATCCACCAAAGCAGGATACTGCATATAGCCCACGGTGCTGCTTGCTGAAAAAGTAAACAAGAGAATGACGGGGATGCCAAGTTGTTGAGCTGAAGGGGTTGTGAATGGCATGAAACCATCTGAAAAATGCATGTCACTGGAGGAGTACTACTACTATTGTTGAGTTTCTTTATCAGATCAACGAAAGGTGCCAAGAAGTTGTTTGTGACGGAATCTGCAAGCAAATTGAGGTCTTGGGTGGCATCTTCATCCGAATCCGGTAGGCCATCTGGGATCGTTTCAAACCGAAAATCATCAGGCAAGCCATAGAGGGACTCGGGTCCTTGAGATTTAACTAACCGCCTATGATTGAACTCGGTGTTGACATAGGTTATACGAAAACCTTTATGGTGGAGAAGTTTTGCTAATTGAAGCATTGCCTTTATGTGACCTTGAACCGGAACTGGAATACAAACAGCATGAGGCTTGTTAGAACACATCTCAGATTTGTGGATCTCAGAGTGTATGCTTACTGTATGAGGGTATTTTAACAGCAAACGTGTATGGATCTATGAATTTGTAGTCTGTCTTGAGACAATGAGTGGTGCAGGGCCGGATGTCAATAATTTTGGCAGTGCCATTTAAGTGGCAACGACCATCACGTAATGAGTACTATGGCCTAGTTCCCACAACTCTACCCTAATAAGTTTTTCATTTCCCTTCATTTGCAGAGGACAAACCCCCCCCCCCCCCCCCCAAAACCCCCCAACCCCTCTTTTAAGATAACATTTAAGTGGCAAAGACCATCACGTAATGAGTACTATGGCCTAGTTACCGCAACTCTACCCTAATAAGTTTTGCATTTCCCTTCATTTGCAGAGGACCCTCGAACTCGGATTACATGGGTAAAAAAGTTAAAAACCCAACACCTTATCTATTAGGATGTTGGACCAGGTGGATGACATAGATTTCAATGTGCTGAAAATACGGTATAGTACACCAAATGTCATAATACAAGTGGTTGAATACTTGAAAGAACAATTTACAACCATTTGTATTATGACATTTGGTGTACCGAACCGCATTTTCAGTACATGAAAACATAATTTCAAAGGCTTAGAACCTTTTGCTCATGCCGCCCCTATTTTCTATGCATTTTAGTTCAACACTAGATATTTGTGCCCGCACGTTGCTGCGGGATTGCAAATTTTATGAAGGATTATGCAACTTCATTCTCTTCATAAGCAATGTTTGAGTTAATTTTGTTCCACTTAAGCAGCAATGATAAATTGTAGAAAGGTAGAATTAACGTATGCCAAACGTATTTCAATGGCACTAATTATATAGAATTGGGAAGTCAAATAAATCATATATAGCCACAAAATAGTAACAGGTGCAGATGAGATTAATCAACATCTACCAAATCAAAAGTAGATGTACAATTGAAATAATAAACCTTGTTTTTTGTTCAAAAAGTCATGCAACAATGGGAACATGACAAACCGGATAGAACACTATGAGAACCAGTTTGGAAGAATTTTCCCTAGTGATTCTGTTGTGCAACTACCATGAACTTTGGAGACCACCCTTCATCAAGAAGCGGATAGAACATATATATATGTGTGTGTGTAAGAAATTTTAGATTTGAACATTTCCTATTTCCAAGAAAGAATTAGAAAAAACATTTAAACTGGCGAAGGCTCAATTCATCATTTAAGACTTGGTCAAACTATGATTAACTCACTCCATCCGTAAACAAAAGAAACCCAAACCAAGTTCAACAAGAATTATGCACAACCTTTTTGAAAACTATAATGAATTATAAAAAATTGTTAAACAAACATGGACCGGAGGTTATCTTAAAATTCATTTAAATGAAAAATGGTAAATTTGGTTCACTTGAGATGCTAACCTTTCCAAATACGATACTAATCAAAGTTGCATATAAAGGATGAAATGCATTAACACTTACAATTAATCACAAAAAACTAACAAAATTCTAATTTGTTTTTCTACTCAATGTTCTAGGAAATTGCCTAAACAGCAAAAGAACGATTGCACATGGAGCCTACAGGTCAAGATGATTGTCTGCCTTTTTATTTAAACCACAAATAAACACTTGCAATAGTTTCCTGATGGCGATGGAGGGCATAATCAAAATGAATTTAACTCTTTATATATGTGGCATTCCTCTTCTGAATAATACTACATCTGAAAAATATTATTTGATCCGGTTTACTGCTCTTTGCAGCACGATAAAAATCTAGCAACAATTCCGTAAAAAGAACATATATGTTACAAAATTGATTGAAAAAATATAACAGAAGTCTACTCAATTCTTATTAAAGCATGCAAATTTCAATCTTTTGACCTACTCTATTGGTATCAACAATATCTAACTATTGTAGTAATAAAATTTTCTTATATGCTTTCATTATTGTTCCCTTTCCTACGTCATCGTTTCCCCGAATCTGTTTATTTCTAATATAGCATCCCTTTACATTTCCACATATTTGCCTTCACTCCTCATTGCAAGTAAAAGCCAAAAAAGTAGAATTGTAATAAGCAGAAAAATCAAAGAAATCAAAGATTTACCTTAAATATGAAAAACGAATTTGAGTCAATAATAGGTTTCTTAGACCTTCCACCATATGTTACCATGGTCCTGCCGCGCCTAAAACACAAACAAATAATATTTACAAATGACTATTATATTTGAAAATCACTAAAAAAAAGGGGTTACCTTCTTCAAAACATATGGGACTGTAAGTCTGCAAACCATACCTCCAAAAAAGTTAAGAACCAAAAAAACAGCATTGCCTCCAACACAGTTAAATCCCAAAGGAAGTTCAGTTAAATCAGTTTAAATGGAAAATGATTAGTCAAACTCAAACAACTAAGTGGAGGAAAAATCAAATCGTGTTATAAATATGTAAAAGTTAGATAGATAACCTTTATAGTGAGTGGAGCGAAGTAAAGGCAAAATATCACATTATAATTATAACTCAAGTGAATGACAAATAAAAAAGGGAGGGATGGATGATGTTATTGATCTTTCTTTCTTTCTGTTTGCTATGTGTCTTGAAAGCATACGGAGCACTCTATTTATAGAGCAGCTCCGATCAAACA